TTAATCAGGAGACCGCAACCAACTTCATGTATAACTAACAAACATTTAAACACATTTATTTGATCTGCTTCATAAATCACTGTGTTTTTGCATATTTGCCCTTGATCACTAAAAAACACAGCACCATGTACTGTACGGTGAATATGCGTCATTTTCCAAATAAATTTCTGATTTTAAAACTTCTACCAGAAAAAGAATGTCTTTAAATGTTAACACATTGCACTGTCATCATAAGCTGAAATAAAAAAAAGTAAAATTCTGAACGTGACAGGATGTTTTAAACTAAAATGTTTGGGTTATGAGGTTTTCTCATTAGCATTAAGATTCAACAGGGCTTTTCTATAAATAGCTAAAATAACTAAATAAACAGATTTTCTGCTTATTTTATTTGACAAGGTGGATATGTTATGCTTTACCTGCCAGGCTAAATAAATAAATAAACAAACAAACAAACAAATAAATATCTTTAACGAGAAAAGAACCTGACAGCTTTTGAACAGTTATGTCTTGCAGTTATGTCTTTTCCTCCTTATTGTTATATAAGTGATGTGATGGGGAGAGAATCAAAATTTGTGGACACAGATTTTTGTTTTAATAAAAATTTGTTTTTCAATTCAATTGCTTTCATTTTCCGTTCAAATTTGTCTTTGACACAGGAATAAAAAAATACATTATTAATATAGTGTGAGTGAGATAATCAATCCATATTTGATATTGGTAATGTTCTGGTGGGTTATTATTATTATTATTTTAAAATTGTATTAAATAGAATTTTACAACTAGCCAAACAGTTCTGTAATATGTGCATATGTGTGTGTGTGTGTGTGTATATGAGCATATTTGTGTGTTTACTGCACTTCAAATGACTGATTGTGTTCATAGAATGACTCATAGAGTGTATATGACAAACAAAACTCTCTTGCCAACTGTTTACTTGTTAGACGGTTCATGTCATGCTATTTTATCCATTTGCATGCCTATAATTTACTGCCAGTCAAAAAAGTCTATAAACCAGCGTGTGAGAGATACAAACACACAAAAACTTGTCTTGTATTAAACATGTGAACACTAAACGGCTTCAAACATTGCTGAATGCGTCCTGCAATTAATAATATGAATTAATTACATGAACTACAGCAAGAGTGCTAAAACAACTTAATGAGCACAACTTTGCATGTTGTGTGTATTTGCGTAGCTAGCACAGCGGCATAATGTTGTTCTATATCTGTGACTGTGAGGGAGACATTCAAACGGGCCGTAAACTAAACACATCTGCCAACTTCCTCTTTTGGCCTCAGGTTATCAAAGCCCTGCAAAGCCAGTGATGTATAAAAAATCAGTTCGGAGATTTTCTCCACCTTCTCTTCATAACCTTGGAGATGAGAAAATATTTTATTCAGTGGATTTAGTCGTTTTAATATACATCCCCGCTGCTCGAGCTTATGTATAGGCCTATGTGTAGCTAGTTTCATGTCAAAAATAGATTGCGAGAGACGAGAATAATGTTTATAATTGCAAAGGCCTTTGTGTTTATCTGTGTGTGCGTGTGTGTGTTTAACATGGAGAACTGGTGTAGTGTGAATTGCAGTAATTGCCTTGTTTGTTTTGTTTTGGCTGGTTCTGTGAGCTGGTAAGCCACTGCTTCACTACCTCTGATTGTTTGTCATTTCAAGTGGAACTAACAAGCGTAGCCTACAAACCGAGTGGGATCAAGAAATTGTGTGTGCGTGTGCGCGTTTGTAACACTCTGAAGAAAATATATTGTCTTTTTTTTCTCTTCTCTCATCAAGCAAAATATTCCTTCCACCTACGGACATTTTAATTTGTTACGACGTCCACATCTCTTGTCATGTACACTGAGCTGGATGATTATATGCCGTGCGCGCGCGCGCGCTTGCCTTCGCTTTAGTGTGACACCTGAGTCACTGGAAGTACATTATCGCTAATGTCCACTTCTGTGAAGTGACCTCATAAATGACCGCTCGGCTACACTGGCAGTGAGATAAGAGTCTGATAGTGGAGTGCCACTGAAAAGGTCACAGCTATCGTAAAGCAATGATGAGCTAAGCGAGGGATGAGTGGAGAGGAGGAGAAAGAGAGAGCGAGAAAGGACAGACGAATGGAAAGATCTGTGTTGATCGAGGGAAGAAAATTCAAGAAAGAAAAGTGTAAAACAGTGTGGAACTGAGGGGAGGTAAAACATAAATGTATGTTTAGTAAAATGGATAAAATGGACAATGCATTGAATAACTTTTGACACGCTCTTTTGACTCGATCCAGTAAGCAAGCACACTAGCAATCACGCAAAAAAAAAATAAAAACAACAAAAAAAAAACTAGTAACCTCAGCAATGCCCTGGCGTGGCTAATTAAAAGTAGCAATGTTTATTGATCAGTAGGCAATTTAATTATAGCTTTTCCAGTAGCGAATGATTTGCAGCGTAGCGCGACCAACGCTTCATTGATGTTGTCTGTTAAGAGAAGTAAAAAACAGTCACCTAAATGGTCCTCATAGTGTTGGAAAGTACGATTCTTTCAAGTGAATCGACTTGTCCTAAATGACCCAATCTCTCATATGTAGCATTAGAATGTCCGATTCTTTCAAGTGAATCGGTTCGTCGTGAATGGTCCTCTCTATATGCTGTGGTGGAAAGTCCAATTCATTGTAATGAGTCGGTTCGTCCTAACTGGTCCTCTCTTTCATATGTAGAGATGCAAAGTCCGACTCATTTTAGTAAATCGGTTCACCCCTAAATGGTTCTCTCTCTGTTGTTTTGGAAAGTCTGATTCATTCTAATGGATCAGTTCGTCCTAAAAGGTCCTCTCCTTCATTTGTAGAGATGGAAAGTCAGATTCATTTCTAAATGGTTTCCTCTCATATGTTGTGTTGGAAGTTGGGTTCATTCTACTGACTTGGTTCGCCTTCTCCTAATTATGCAGAGTTGGAAAGTCAGAATCATTCTAGTGAATTGGGTCATTCGATGGCAAATGAACAAAATAACCACTTCAACTCCCTTTACTATGTACTAAATTTTCAACTCTGTTTTATAAATTAGAATGTATATTTGATTTAATATACAGTTACCAATTAAAATGTGAAAAAGTGTAACCCTAATTGCGATTGTTCATTTAAAATCCCAGGAAGAATATGTCTCTGATTAAATTATAAATTATATATATAATGCATTCAGATACTTTTTCTTGTAGCTTTTAGTGCAGCTAACAACTTTTTTCCCCCAAGATACATCTTGGTTGCAGTTTACTGCCAATTGTTTTTAGGTTATAACTTGACAAGTTACAGTTTCAAAGAGGCTTCGCCAACACTGCAACACTGTGGTGAGTTTTGCACGGCAAGCACCACTCAAGTGTAAAAATCTAGTTACATCTGATCTTTGAAAAAGGGTGATAAAACATCATCTTGCATTTGAAAAGAGGACAAAAAGAGTGGCCAGATTGCGTGAAAATGAGAGAGGACAAAAGAAAAAGTAAAGCGTGGTTCTCCGGTCGCTAAAAAGCCCAACCAGATGGAAGCACTCAAAGTGACTTCCAGAGCTGTGACATCATCAGGGCAATGGCTTTGTATGGCATTTGCTCTGATTAGTTAAATGGCCATGATTGTCCGCTCAGCAAACCACTCACGCGCACGCACACACACGCACGCACGCACGCACACACACACACACAGAGAGACAGAGAGAGATCACCGTGCAGGCTGTTGCACTGCGGTAATCATGCGAATGCGTATCTACATAAGCCTCCTGATTATAGACCCAGTTGTTGGACCAAGCCAGACCACTTGGACAATTCAAATTCTCATTAAAGTTTCATTCGCAAATCCTGAAATTGGAACAGAAAGCCTTGGTATATCTCTGTGTTGTCCTGCCAACTAAACTTCAGAATCTAAAGTTCTAACAGTGTTGTGTTCATAGTATCCACGGTCTGGGCAGTTCATCGCCCTTTTGGGATTTCTCAGTATGGAATTTTGTAAACAAACTGAAACAGAATACCCTGTGAACTCTCTCAATGAAGTCTCGCCTCTTCCCATATTTCTGTTTCGCAGTACTGTTAAATATTGTTTTGTGGGTGATCTTAAAAACTAAATCCAGATTAGCTGGGTTTATTCAGTATTATTTAATATAGTTAAATGAGCCCAAATACATTAGTTTATATGGGTCAGATTGAACAGGAATAGCTCTGCACACAGCAATGGAGTTTAATACCTGAACATTTTCATGAAATATCCTCCTAATGCCTGCTAAAACCAAGGACGATAATGATAAAGATATAGTTTAAAACTTAAAAGAATGGCAGAGTCCACACCAAAATAACAACAGCACAGAGTAACCATATAGTTGGATTCACTTTTAGAACGATTTATTCCAGCTGATGAATGATAAAAACATTGATAGCCAATCAGTCTCCATCCTACTGTAGCTCAAGCATTTAAAGCTACAGACGACAAAACTGCAGCCTGCGTTTACCGTAAACAGAACAATATCGTCCATTGGTGTGGACTATATCATTCTTGGTGTGAATGGCCTTTACACTCCTAAATTTTCCCAGCAGAACAAAAACCACCATAGAAGAATCTTCATAAATTTTGCAAATATGCTAATCAGAAGAACCTCTAATTTAAAATAAATAACTTTTTTCTCTCTCAAAAAATCATGCAGCCTAAAATAGTTCTTTATTCCTTGATAAACTTATGAACGGTTTAAAAACTACTGTGCGATGGGATCCTAAAAAGGACCTTTTTCAACATTTATTTTTAGTGCGCACAGTTTTTTGTCTGACTTGTCTACCTCACTTTTTAATCGCCGTAAAATTTCACTATTGCTGAAAGAATCACTTGCAAACTTAGATACTTGCAGAGCAGGCTGAATTTCTCTAGCCTATAGGAGCACCGACCCAGCTCTCCAGAAGGCTGGTCAGGGATTTTGCATGGATGCGCCTGAGAAAGCCCGAGCCAATCACAGGCAGGCAGATGCATGTAAAATTCGCCGCTGAGTTTGAGGACCGGATTGAGCACATTGTGCTGTGGGACAGCAGGAATCAAGCATCTGTGGTCGCGCTCACATATATTAAACTGATGCGCACTAATGCGCACACTGGCACATCTGACGCGCGCCTTGGTTACGCTTCTATCATGGTGGTACGCGTTTGATTCGAGGATTATTATTTTAGAAGACTCCGATCGTGAGTATAACGGACATCTGCTGCATTTAGCAGTTTGTAATTTCCCCCTTGTGTGTTGTATGAAATCATTGCTCTCCTCTTCGGACACCTCTTACGCATTAGAAAGCTACTGATATCGCACAAGTTGGTAGTTGGAACTGATTTTCGGACACGTCGTTTTGGAGATTTCCATCAGTCGGACGGTGGTCCTCTTGTATGGATGTAGTGACTCGGACTGAGTCGGACCGATCCGGGGGTTCCAGACGCGCTTCCCCGAGATTACCCAGCAGCATCACCGTTCAACCGAGCGCATCCAGCAGCAGTCGACATGATCCTTCTGGGAATACTTCTAAATCTGTTCGTCATTAAGGGTAAGACTCTTAGAAACAGCCTCCGTGACTTATTTTGACACATTAGGGTCACACATTACATGACTGTGTTTATGCAGTATATTTACATAAATACATAAGTATTTACACTGCACATTTACATAAGTTAATGAACAACGTGCACAATATGTAACTGTAGAGCTACCTGCAAAGGCAATTTGCTAGTATAACTATTGTGATTAACTATATTTAAATATACAATATAACGTAAAGTGATAGATAGATTGATAGATAGATAGACGTTTTTTTCTATGAATGGCTCTTTGGTTATGAAGGCAGACTAAATACGACTGTTACTATAGTAAAACCATGGTATTTTAAATTTTCTAAAAGAAAAGAGATAGACAGATTGGCAGATAGATAAATAGACAGACAGACATATAGATAGATAGCTTTTTTTTATGAATGGCTCTTTGGTGGTGAATGCAAACTAAACAAGACTGTTACTACAGTAAAACCATGGTATTGTAAAGGGAAGGATTGTCTGAGGGAAAACATCGATAAATAAGTAGATAGATAGATAGATACTTTATTGATCCCGTGTGGGGAAATTGGGTTACGTTAACAGCCAGACACAGTGTACAGTATAGAGTGTAACATAATACATATAGAAAGATTAGAAAAGTCTACATTATAAACAAGATTTACACAATACACCATATATATTACAGACAAATAGACCAAGTGAGAAGAATAACCATTAGAGATATCATAGAGAGTTCATCTTACACAACAAATTTTACCGGTTGCACACAATATGCTGTGTATTGAATGTATTATACACATTGTGCATGCATTATATTGTATATGTCAAATATTGTGCATACCTTTGGATTGAGAACATTTGTAAAAGCCAGAAGAGCAGTGATTAAATTACAATTGCATGGAAACTTATTGCACAGGTGTGTTTTAGGGTGACCGCTGTGCCATGTGCTTGTGCTGAAACAAAAGAGAGGGTTTCATTTTCTAGAGTGCTGTACACTGAGCAGAACAGATGTGTCTGTCACTCCCTCACATATCTGTGCAACAAACACTGTACACTCTTAAGAATATCCCAAATAGCACCAGGTAATCTTTATATGCGGCTTGTAACAATAGCAGAACCCTTTATGTTGTAAAACCAACATAAAGAGCTTAAACGAGCTTAACTATTAATATCACTTACTGTAAGATGTTTACAAACAAGAAAAAGACTTTTAAGAAAACCCTCTTTTAGTCTAGCATCATCTGAGTCTGAGATCATCCTCATGCTTTGAACAATAGATAATTATATTTCATTCATACACAGTACTTTTAATAGTCCAACACAACACTGAGATTTTCAGCCAATTAGATGTACTTTACAGCCCTGTGTTTATTTTCTTTACACCTTTGAATCACAACAGCATAATCTGTGCAGGCCAGGTCTAAAAATATAATTCCGTCAACAAATAACAGTATGTTATGAGACATCTGTCACAGTCAATATTATCCTAATTATGTGATGGCAGAAACACACACACACACACACACAAACACACACATAAACAGACAGATTAGGCTGGTAAAGGGCAGCTCCATGGTGTTCCCGTAGCACAGCAACCAACATTTGAGGGATCTGGCTTTCTTTCCCCACCTGGGACGACAGGGTGCAATATCTCACAAGTGTCTTGTGAGAGTGCATTGTAGCCCAAGTGACATTCATCATCATGAGTGGTGTTTGTCGCACCCTGGTGCCACGAGAACACGCTGTAATGCGCGCGCTGATCGACAGGTTTATTTATTAGCTGTGTTAATGATTGCAGATTTGATGTGCTACTCGTGCTGTGTGCATCCCCGGGGGCCGGGTCGTATATCAGCCGCACGAAACGCAAAGGGACCCCCTGACGGATATCAAGTGGCAAAAAGATTTAATTTCCACAGTGTATTTGCATAAAGATTTGCATGCTTGAATACGTTTTTAAGAGGTGACCTGAGGTGGAAAGATGTGTACAAACATACCAAGTCGAAGATTGACGGCCTTTGGGCAGGTGCGCATGTACGAATACGTGCCAGCCGCGTGCCCAGGTGTGTTTGAGAAAAGGTACGTGTGCACAACTCTGGACTTTGGCAGCTTTAATTAATTTGCCAGCGACAGATGCTGACAGGTCTGGGAAAAACATGCCTGGCATATTCGCTGCAAAAAAAAAAGAGCATTTTAATCTTGTTTTTCAGTAAAATATCTAAACATTCTCAAATTATGATACATTGACTTGAGAAGCAAAATAAAAATGATTGTTTTCTGAAAAGTTTATCCAAATTAAGCAATTTTGTGCTTGTTTTTGTTCTGGTCATTTTGACACCGAGATATTTTCTTTTTCTTGTGCTATAGATGTTATCGCATTGGACTAAAACTTACAGACATTGTTCACACATGGGTATAAAAAAATCAATCAGTTCCAAAGATAAATACAAATCCTGTGCTAATTGAAAGAAAACAAGTTGACAAAAAGATCAAATCCAAGATTTGGTGATAATATCCATTTTTAAAAGGCCGGTCATTTTACTGGAGCACCAAATGAGGTTTTCAGCACAGTTTATTTTTCTTACCCCAGTGGCAGATATTTTTTTCTTGTTTAAAGTATAAACTCTTTTATATAAGTTTTTTCAGACTTAATACCTTAAGCAAGTTTGCTTCTCAAGTAAATGTATCTTTAGATATTTGTACAGTAAAACAAGTAAAAAAATACTGAGTATGAAAATTATTTTTGTAGTCTAATGGTTTCTTCCTCATTTTTGCTTTTGCAAAAAGCATGAGCTGCACAACTTAAGAAATGTTTTGGGATGCTTTAATACACACAGGTGAACCAGGCTTTGTCAGCTCATATACTAATTGCATGGAGAAAAATATGCCATAATGGACTCAGATGCATCCCAGCCAAGGACATACCCAGGGACAGCTTAATTACACGACCATTTTTAGCAAATCAAAGAGGAATCGTAAGAACACAGGTTCAATAAACCACACGGGATTAGTTAACAAAAAGGTAATCTTCCCTCCGGGCATGTATTCTTCACATATGAGGGGACGTTTAGGGTCTTTTCAGGGTCGCGTGTGTGTTTTGTTGATAACCAGGATTTGGAAAGGCAAACACGGTGACGGCAGATGGTGTTGGACTCTCTCGCCTCGACTGGAAGATTCAAGCCAAGCGACAGAATCAGAAAGAGCATGTGTGAGCATGTGTGTGCGTGAGCTCCACTTGCACACGGCTTTTATGATGATGTTGTAGCCAATTTTCATTAAAGGCACTGAGCGCTGTGATTTAGCGACGAGGACCGTCTCAGCATCACGTCCCTGCAGTGAACTCCTTCCTCCCGGGGCTTTCGGATTGTCTTCCGTTTCTTCTCACTGTCAATCAGACGGGCCCATCTGACCCGGTTCTTTTAATATCGCCGCCATGCTTTGATGTGACGTGTCAACAGTAGTGAATAGATACGGCGCTCTGACCCACATTTGACAAAACCCTCAATGCAGCAAATAACAGTGTGCGCTGGAAGTCTATACAGCAAATATGAGCGTATTTACGGTCAGAAAGATCCTTAAATACAGTGTCAATGGCTTCTTTTTTGTTCCTTGACATTTGTCATCCTTGCTGAAAACCAGTCATTCACTGTTTTAAATGGAGGGTTTGTTTGTGTACATTTTTGTTGAGTAATTTGTCTAAATTGTTGGTTTAGGCCCTGAGATGCAGCATGCTGTAATTTAGCTGATGGATTCTTCAGTTCTGTGTAGATCGACAGAAGAGATGTTTTCTTGATATGTGTCTTGATATAGTAGTGCTCGGTTTACCACAGAGGTTCAGACCGCTGTACGCATTGATTAGTTAATCACGTTAGACCCGCAAATATTGACAGCTGGAGCCGGTTTGCTGTCGCCTGCCATAAATACGGTCGCACAAGGATACTTAGATTTACAGTACGCGCTCATACTGTCTTTCTCTATTTCACTCACCTCTTTATTTCTTTCACTCCCTTGTACAGCTGAGCTTCACTGCAGAAACTGTGTCTGTCGTTCTCTCTCAGTGTGTGCATGAGACTTAAAGCCTCAAGGTGTGTGTGTGTGTGTGTGTGTGTGTCACTGTCACTTGCTAAATGTGATTTTAGTGCACGCACACACACATATCTCGTAATACCCGGCCAGCATGTGTTTGATTGCCATCAGCCTCCATACTGAGACGGTTTCCTATTGTGAGGCGTCTGCTGTCTGTCATTCTGTAATTTCTTTCTTTCTTTCTGTTTCTTTCTCACTCCATCGCTCACTTTTCAACTCCTCTGTGTACTCATCATTCTCTGAATCATTCCCTGTTGTCTAAAAAGGGAAGACACAAAAATATGAGATATTTGAGATAGTTTTATTTATTATTTTCATAGTAAATAAACATATTTAATATAATTTGGACTGTTAATCCGTACAATATAATTTACAATTATACAATGCAGTTTTAAATCAAAATAATTATAAATTAGTTGAATTAATTGCATTATTAATTATGATTAATTAGTCACAATTATCAGATGTATTTGCTCAGAAAAGCAAATGTGGATAATTTAAAGATATTATTGTGGCCGATGAGTAAAACATTGAATAGACAGAAAGTCAGTATATTCTTTGTTATATATCCATATCATTGAACGCAAGTGTAACACTTTGTTATTGTGTCCGATATAGACTTAAGGGCCTTTCCACCCAAGATATATTTTGGAACTATTTTTTAAATTGTTTTTTCATATGTTGTTGCATTATGTCTTGCTGTTTTTCAGCATCGAATGTCATGAGCTTTTAAAAACATATCTTGAAAACCTGTTCTATTCCATTGTGTTCTGTCTATCTGTAGTAACAGCTGGTGCTGTGCTGACTGCGGACTCACAAAAATTCTGTATTATGATTACATTTTATTATAATTAACCACTAAAATAAAACAGCCCTAGTTATTGTTGCCATTTTTTAAATCATTTTTAGTCATATTTATATTTATGTATCTAATGTATACAGCTAAAAATAATAAAATATTGATAAAATAAAATTAACAAAAAATATGAATAAAATAGATATGAATAAATATTAACATAAATAATCATGAGTGTTATTTTAGTATAATTGAGATATTATTATAGTTTTTAACATTTTAAATTAGTTTTTAATTTTGTATTTTCCATTATCCTTTTCATGTTTGAAGTAATTTTGTTGTTTTTGTCATTTTGATTAGTTATTTTTTAGTGTCTATATATATATTTATATAAAATTTATATAATATATATATATAAAAAAAAAATGTTTTTTCAGTTTAAAAAATTTTAGTACATCACGTTTAACTAAATGAAAATGAGTTATGTTGCTAGCTGATTTTTTAAAAATATTTTATTTTGATTCAGTTAATGTTTATTTCAAGTAACAAATATGTTTTTTATGGTTTTAATTTTAGTTAACTAGTTTAAGTTTTAGTTAATATCATTGATATTAATTATTTATTAATTAAAATGTATGATTCATTCATTCAAATAAATATTAATAAATAAATTAATAATAATACATCTAAAATGAACATTAGTCAGTTAGTAGCTAAAACAAACAAACAGCTTTAAAAGCTTTGAAACTGCTTTAACCATGTCTTTCTTTTCGTATTAGTCACTAGGAATTTGCAAAGTCATTTTCATGATGTTAAAATAGTTTCTTGTATCTAAACTTAATATGCAGTGTCAAGACTTTCAGTGGTTGACGGAAAAGTGTAAAACTTTGGTCTGCTGAGCTATCAAGTATCCAATACAGCAGCATTGACTCTAAATTTAGAGCGGGGCTATCTGAGGGCAGATGGAAAACCTGTTTGAAAGCAGACATAAATTATGCAATTCTGTTTGGTGCCACTAGAGGCGCAGCAATTACACGCTTTACCTTTAAGAAGAAAACTGAAAACAGTGGCAGATCAAACACCTGTCTTTAAATTCAAACTAGCACATAACATCTCAATATTGAACTGTTTGTCAAATATGTGCGAGATCAAAGTGTGTTTACTTGTCCGTTTAACTTCGGCCGCCGCAGTAGATGGTCTTTCACACATGGATCATCACTGTGTGAGCTGTGGAAGGAGGTGCCATTTTGTGGTAGCGGAGTCCTAAGTCATGACCAACGCTTAGTCTGCCGGCCACAGCCATGGGTTCTCAATCACCACATGCTTTAAAATGAGGCCTAGCGCAATTACTGCCCCTGCCGCTGCGAAGGAAAACAGACACAAAGGGGGATGGGGGTCAGAGGGGGAGAAATACAAGAACACATGTCTCATGCTTCTATAGGAGTGCACAGCTTTTTCTGTTGCTACTTAATGAAAAACAGCAAACGTAGCCATGAAATTACACAGCCCTGTCACAGTTTCCCCGCAGGTCACCCTGAGACCTGGCTGACGGCAAGGGTCTCTGAAGTTGATGACGTCTGTTAGGATTGAACCTGAGAATGGACACAAAGCACAAAGTGTTTGTTGTCAAGGACTCGGTTTGAAACTCTTGATGTATGAAGTTGGTGAATGAAGATTTTCTGCTCGTTTAAGTTATCAGTCCTCCTGCAATAGCAAGACAGGAAATTCCCTTCAGAGAAGAGGTCTCTTTTAAATTATTTTACACATTATTAATTCTGCCCTTGAGTGCAAGTTAAGGGACTTTGATCTTCGTTTTTACACGGTCACTGTCAAAATGTTTTCTATGCGTCTAGAATGCAGAATCAGATATTATAACTGTTATGTATTATAGTGAAACAGATCCACAAACTGTAATGTGTCATAACCAGGTCCACAGGGAATCAGAATTGAGCAGAAAACTCATTCAAAAAGTTCTACATATTCCCTGCACTTTTTGTGTGCATTCTCTTTTTAAATATTTTGGCTAATACAGCTGCGTTTCCACCGAAATTACCTGGAACAATTTGTCCCAGGAACTTTTTTTCCCCAGACCTGTTGCTGTCTGTGTTTCCAAAGTACCATGAAGATTAGCAAATAGTCTGGTGACGAAGGACTGCGTGCGACTGCTCCTCCCAGTCCAGGAGGAGGCGCTAATGTCGAACAACGATAACGTCATACTAAGTGATGGACCGCCACCGTTTCCAGTTCCCGCTGGATTTCATCCTCGGCACTGCACCAGCACCGCAACAGACTTTTAAAAATGGTGGTTGAAATACAATGCTGCGTAGAGTCAACCAATCCAAATGCTGCGTGAACTCAACCAATACGCACATTTAGCGCCCAAGTCCCACCCCCGAAAGTTCCGGACCTTTGAAAAAGTACCAAAGCCACTAGAAGGCTATAGTAATAATCTCTGAAAGTACTACCTCGCAAGCAGGGACTTTCTAAGGGGCAAATTTTTACCCGGAACTTTATTTAGATCCTGGTTCCTGTGGTGGAAACACACCGAGTACCCCCGCCCCAAAGTCCCCAGTACCTGGGGAAAGTTCCTGCGGTGGAAACGGGATTTATGACTGCTTTCATCAACCTACAGGACTGTAGTGGCTCCATTTCAATTCATCAAATTGAATTGGCCACGTCCCACAGGAAGTTGAATTGGAATTTAAAGACAAAGACAGGAAATAGAAATTACTGAATAGCAATTCAAAGAAATGTAAGATGTGCAATGCATTCTGGGAAACAAAGTGTTCTTCCACCCTAGTCCACAAAAGATAACTTATTAAACATGATTACACACACACACACACACACACACACACATTAAATACAAATATCTATCTATCTATCTATCTATCTATCTATCTATCTATCTGGCCTATTAACTTCAAGACTTTTTTTTTTTCAAAACAAGGATTTGTCAAACCAACATTCAAGACAAACTTCTGTTTTTCTGGCTAAAAAATTACATAGAAATTTCTTTGAATTTCAATTAATTTTTAATTCTTCTTCCTCACTTTCTAATTTGGACTGCAATTCTGCATCCTGTTTTCTAATGTACCTCCAATTCAATTCGAATTCAGGAACTGATTGGGAATTTAAATAGGAATTAGCTCACTGGTAAAACATATTGTTAATAAATACTTTGTTTATTGATTTTAAAATGAACTTTACTCACAATCCTCCAGGGGCTGTTCCGTCTGTGGTGCCAGTGTTCCCCGGGACTGTGGACTGCATAGAGGCTGTACAGGAATGTATAAAGGACCCGGAGTGTAAGCGACAGTTCCGGCACCTGGAGTACTGTGTGGATGAAGAGGCGGTGGCTCCCCTCAGTCTGGAGGGGCGGCAGGCCTGTGTCGACGCCCAGAACAACCTCATGCACTATCAGAGCCTGCAAGAATGCAAGTGTCAGCGAGGGTCTCGCATGGAACATCAGTGCCTGAGCATTTACTGGACCGTCCGTTTTCCACAGGGTAAGAGACATAAGAGAGAGTTTTTACTTTTCATATGGTGACTGTTGTCAACAGTAAGCCCTCTTAAATTTTAACCTCTGCTCTACAACCACCTGGATCCATTCTCATTTAGTCCCACCTTAATTTTTTTTTTCATTCAAAGTCCTGTTTGATTCAGAAATAGGAGTTCAAGGGAGTCTGTGGAAAGTTTCAAAGAAAAACTGAAAAAGACCAACATTTTTAGTTTTAGACCAATATTTACTGTGAAAAGGACTATAAAAATACATTTAAATTATCAAAAAGGACATTATATATAACCATATACTGTGGGTATAGAAAAGAATCACCCCCCTTTCAAATAATCACATTTTGTTGCTTTGTAGCCTGAAATGAAGATGGACACAGTTTGTTTTATTCAGCTGGATTTACTCAGTGCAACTTATACCATCCAAGTGAAAGATATAACACCAACATCTCAGAAAAAAAACAGAATAACACCAACATGTCAGCTGTTGATTCTATAGAACCCACTGTATATACACACTACCGTTCTTTATTTATTTTTTAAGAAATAAATTACATTTAAAAATAAATTTAAAGACAAAACAGTTCTTTTAAACTTTAATAATATTTCACTGTTACAATTTTACTTTATTTTTGATCAAATAAAAGCAGGCTTAGTGAGCATAAGAGACTTATTTCAAAAACTTAAATTCAATTCAATAATAAAAAAAAAAATCCTACCAACCCCAAACTTTTGAAGGGTTTAAATATATATATATGTGTATACTGAATATTCAGTTTCACTCAGAAATATATCATATTATAGAAGTTAAATGCATTGCTAATGCAGTTTCATGTTTTTAAGACTCCCTAGAATATTTCCTGACTGAACTGCTCATGTCCAGCAATTCTCAAGCCAGTGAATGTCATGATGAAAGGAGCAGGTTTAAAGAAGGCGAATAAGAAAGTAAAAGAGGAAGTAGGTAATTCCAGAGAAAAGTCATGCATAAAGAATTCAGTTCAATCAATTTCAAAATGACTGCCTTTGTTCTATCGGTCATAAACAGTGAACTCATAGATCTCAGTGGATGCCGTTTGTTATGTTCTTTCAGGACAATGCCAAAACGCTTTAATGAGAGTGTTGAGTGAGCTACCAGATGATTTAGATTTAGGCAGTAATAGCATTTAATGAGTGCTCAGTAATGTGTATGAAATGGAAAGGAGGCATAAAACCCAGTCAGTCACTAAACAAACGACTGGCTGACTGACAGTGCTATCGTGATTAATCTTGCCATTCCCTCGTCTGTTCATTACGCTCTGCGGGACGGACGCGTACATGCAGGAACCAGAATTTGCTGCGTACCGTCGAGGGCGTCTGGTTTCGTGTCACAGCAGAAGTTTCATGCTCATGTGTTTGCTCATGAACAAAAGAGATTATGGAGATGCCGGTGAATGACGTCCGGGGGATCGTCAAAGCACGGCTGCAAAATTAATTGATTCTGAGTGCATATTCCCACCCAGTATGGCTTATTAATATTAAACCTTATGAAACAGGAAGATGGTTTCCCACAGCGACTCATCAAGAGCTGTTGTAAATGCTGACTAATCTCAGGCTTCTCCAGCAGCGAACTCGTCAAGTGTCTGAGTGCAACGTAGGGGCCACAGGGGCCAGAAGGACCCAGGCCTGATCGACAGTCTTAGAAATAAGTGCTTTTAAAACACATCAACTGGAAATGTCAAGTGTTCTTCTCCTGTGTGCCGCAAATGAAAACCATCAGCAAGGATACGCAAGGCACTTAATTGTGATTGTAGCACACTTGATGTGGCGCCTCCGTAGATTGAAATGTGGCATGTGAACAAGATGACAGGAGGGATTCTGCCTGTTTGCATTTGTTTGAAGAGTCTGTGTGTGCGTAGGTTTTGATAACTAAATTTTCAAACAATGTCCCCAAAAGAATATCACAACATGACAAAAAATTCCTTCTGGGGATGTTGACGCAAAAAGTAACAGGCTTGTGAAATGACAAAATGTGCCTTTTGGAGTTAGGCTAAGAGTGCAGTAATTATAACATGACTTTTTGAAGAAAATATGAGTGGTGTTTGCTGACAAATGTTTACAGTACTTGCTAATCTATTGCTAAGGCATTTGAAGTTGTTGCTAGGGTATTCAGGAGGTTACTGAGGTGTTCTGGGTGGTTCTAAGGCTTTGCTAGGTCTCTATGATATTCTGCTCTCTAGATATAGATGATGCAAGACAAGTTTATTTATATACTGTAGCACATTTCATACACAGTGGTAATTCATGAAAGTGCATTACATACATAGTTGTTATAAAAAGAGAAAGATAAACTAAATTTTAAGAATAAGGAAGGAAGGAAGGAAGGAATAAAAGTTTAATTTAAAAATGAAATAAAAAACAAATAAAAAAATAATAAAATACATAAATAAAATAGATAACAGGAAAGAAAAAAACATCTCAATAAAATACTGAAAAATAAGTCAAATAAAAATAATAAAGAAAAGTTCATTTAAAACATTTAAGTAAATAAAAACAATAAAATAAAATTGCATAGTCATTATAAAGAGAAATTAAATTTAAAGACATTTTAAAACCATTTAAGAATAAAGAATAAATAAATCTAAATAAATAAAATAATAAATATAAATTAATTAAAATAAAAAATATGATACAAATAAAAATTTAAAATAAATAAAAATGAAAGAAAATACCTTAATAAAATAATGAAAAATATAAATAAAAATGATAAATAAAAGTTCTATTTACAAATTAAATACAAATAATAAAAAAATGTAGAATAAAGAATACACTAAAGAATCATACCAACTGGGCATCGAATGTCCCCTTTAATACTTTACATTTTCATATATTATCTTATTTTAAATACAATAGATATGAACAGAAAGTCCCACCAAGAGTAAATATACAATACTAGCTTGTGTGTGTGTGTGGTTTCATACTCACTCGTCTTGGCATGCAGTGTCCCCAGGGTTGTGTGATACAAATAGACTGGTCACTATTTTAACTTGTGTCTTGATCCAGACCCCTCAGTCTGTGGACTGACATTTCAACCAATGCATATATCACAAACACTGACCTCTGTAAGACTTTAAATCATTATTAAAGAAATTCCATATGAAATTTGATAATGTGTGGTGCTGTTAATTAGGTATAATGATAAGGTAATGACACAGCTTGGTGAGCTTAATTAGTCTCAAACAATCTGGTGTCTTACAGTTATGTGTGTGTTTGTATTGCAGGTTATGATGACATTGAGACGTCCCCATATGAAGACATTGAACTGGAACTTGTGAAAAATAGCGAAACATCAAAACTAGCCTCAATAGTTTCAGGTACTGCAGCCACATCAGTGATACAACCAAATAAAATGTGTTTTCCTCCACAGCTGAATGCACTGTGATGATGTACACTAGTGTATTGCTGTATGTTTATATGTTTGTGCTTAATATGTTTTCCTTGTCTTGCAGTTGTATTTCTGAAAAAAAAAATGGTGTTGGATTTACTTTGAAACAGTTTTCACTCAGAAATTACTAGTAACTTTCACAAATAATTACAAAGGAATGGCAAGTAACACACTGAATTAAAGGAATAGTTCATCCAAAAATGAATATTTGCTGAAAATATACTTACCCTCAGGTCATCCAAGATGTAGGTGAGTTTGTTTCTTCATCAGAACAGAATTGGAGAAATGTAGCATTACATCACTTGCTCGCCAATGGATCCTCTGCAGTGAATGGGTGCCGTCAGAATGAGAGTCCAAACAGCTGATAAAAACATCACAATAATCCACAAGTAATCCACACAACTCCAGTCCATCAATTAACACCTTGTGAAGTGAAAAGCTGTGTTTTTGTAATAAACAAATCCATCAAAACGTTTTTTTTAACAAACCATAATATTGCTTTCTCTAGTGAAAAAGTTGTCTCGTCTGAATCAGGAGAGAAATATGTAGAAAAAATAAAACACTGTTTACAAGTGAAAACAGTCTAAAACAGTTCTAAACAAATATATCGGTGGATTTTGATGTGAGAAGAACAACAGGGGATGCACTTTTACACTGGAGGAAGCGTTATTATTGATTATTGATTATATTTTGGCCAGAAGCGATGGATTAAAGTTAAAACACCTTATGATGGATTTGTTCCTTACAGCTGCTTTTCACTTCAAAAGACATGTTGGACTGGAGGTGTGTGGATTACTAGTGGATTATTGTGATGTTTTTATCAGCCGTTTGGACTCTCATTCTGACGGCACCCATTCACTGCAGAGGATCCATTGGTGAGCAAGTGATGTAATGCTACATTTCTCTAAATCTGTTACGATGAAGAAACAAACTCATCTACATCTCGGATGGCTTGAGGGTGAGTTAGTTTTCAGCAAATTTTCATTTTTGGGTGAACTATTCCTTTAAAATGTTAGAATTAAGTAGAAAGAAAAAAATATTATTTTCTTGCAAAACATGCTCCAGTAATCTATATTTTATTTACAACCTCCAAAAATATTTTTACAGTGTGTGTGTGTGAAATATAAAAAGCATAACATACTGCTTTATACATGTCCAAAAAGCATTTTTTGGTGTTAAAATAGTACTGTCAGGATTTACTAAAGATGCGCAGTGAAGAATTATCGCTGAAAAGTCGTGGATAGTTATTTTTGTGCCTGACCTTATTGCATATACATTTGTAGGAGTTTCCCTTTCAGATGCAAAATTTATGGGAGGAGATTATTAAAATGAATCATGCAATGCGATTTACTAACATTTGCGCTCGTCAGATTACTGGTATTTGCGCCATTATTTAACGCTCCAAAAAAGCATGTCTTAAAGCAGACGCTAATTTGCGCTGCTCTTGGTAGACTGTGGAAATGATCTGGCTGCGTCTGTGTTCTTTAATTTGCTCATTGTCAATCACCCACAGAAATTTCCACTCCCATTAGTGCTTTTTTGGAATTGCGCTCTCACGCTAATTTGCCCTGTTTAGTAAATCTGACCCTTAATTAAAAGTGTCTTTTGGTCTTTTTCAGTGTCCTCCCTTCCTCTGACGGATCAGAACCAGTGTTTGAAAGCAGCTCAGGACTGTGGATTGTACGAGAAGTGCGGGTCCCTGCGCTCTGAGTACGCGTTAGCATGCACTAAGATCATTCCTGGCACGAACCACTGTAACCGGCACAAATGTCACCGGGCCCTGCGGAGGTTCCTGGAGCGTGTTCCAGAGGAGTACAGTTTTGGTGTCTTATTTTGTCCCTGTTCGGATACACTGTGCGGGGAGAGAAGGAGAAAAACCATTGTGCCCTCCTGTTCTTATGAGGAGCGAGACGGACAGCCCAACTGCCTCAATCTGGAGAGTTACTGTCTCAAAGACAACCTGTGCAGGTGAGATACGTGTCTGTTAGCAGTTGGACATAGTAAAAATATCTGATTTGTGAATCAGTCATTCTTTTGAATCTGATCATTTCAATCAATTAGCCGAAACAGTTCACAAAACATATGTGAATGTTTTATTCACTACTCAATCAGTTCAGGCTGTTCTAAAGTCAACAACTCACAAATACATTGAACTACACCGAAGTGTTTCATACCAGAAATGTATACCTAGTAAAAGATATTTGGAAAATGTTTACTGTCTCTTCTAAGAAAATGCCCCAAACTACCATTCAAAAATTTTTTTTTAACAAAGAAATTAATATACTTTTATTGAGGAAGGATGCGTTAAATAGACATTTATAATGTTTAAAATATTTATATTTCTGAACTTCCTTTTCATCAAAGAATCCTTTATATATTTATTAAAGAAAAAAATATCACAGTTTATAATAATAATAATAATAATCAGCATATTAAAATGATTTCTGATTTCATGATCATGTGACAGTGACGGTGAAGATGCTGAAAATTCAGCTTTGCCATTACAGGAAAGCATTTAATTTTATAATATATAATCAAATAGAAAAATATTGAAAAATTAAAAATGTTTTCAGCCAAGAGATGTACATGAATTTTAGTTCAAACAGTTTGAAAGAACCAATTTGTGTAACTGATTGTGACATATTACACTTGCATCAGATGTTCTAGCCCTCATTCAGACTAACCTCAGCTTTGATAACAGCACAGAATGATCATTTCCACCTTTCTTCTTGAAATACAAGACTTCCCTTTTATCTTCCTCTAGAAACAGATGTCTCTGGCAGTAATGCTTATCTAAGCATCATTAATAGCACAGAACATGCTGAGTTGGATGGAAGAAAGGACAACAGGTCGCATATTATACGATTAGACACATCTTGTATTTAAACAAGGATAAAAAAAGAGAAATGTTTGGAAAATGCAGACTATCCTGAACAGCATGGACACATTTAGTCAATACCGCCGCTCCCTATATGCAGAGTATGCACTTTGCATAGGGCATCAACTCCTTGGAGGGGGGGGTGATACGAGGGTCAGGTATAGGGGAGGCGATGCCCCCCAGATTCTCCTTGTGCCCTCCTATCCGCAGGATACTTAACAAACAACAGTACAGTTCTGCTTAAGGCACCCATTTGTCCATCAGCGACCCTGCATTTAGTTAGTGTAAGGCGTTTTCTTAGAAGAGGCAGTAAGTCCTTAAAAAATTAGTTACAAAATTACAAAATGAATAGTACGAAATTGCATTAGATTTTGAAAAAAAATCGAATCATTCATAAGTCACTCGTAATTTAATAAAAAAAACACTATTTTTGTGTTGTTGTTAAAGGTGTAGTAAGCGAGAAACGCTGTTGAAAGTGGATCGGACTGAGCACCAAAACACACTTGTAGCCAATCACCAGTAAGGGGCGTGTCCAGTAGTGCTGGGGGAGGGGCCTGTGTTGAATAGCATGTTCAGAAATTTGGGGGCGGAGGCAAGATAGGGGTGTGATTCTTTTGGGTAGGGGCTTTGGTGATTTCAAATATCAACAGCATTTCTCAGAAATCTCTTACTGCACCTTTAATTAAAACTATAAAAAATTGTTGAAATAATATATCTAAATATTAGATGAAACACTTAAACTTAAAACACTTAAAATTGAGAAAGGTTCGGCAACTAACTGAAATGTTAAAAGTACTAAATTTACTAAAACTAAAATTGAAATAAAAATTAAATAGAAATACCATGTTAAAATATTAGTTAAATAGAAATAAAAAAATTAATAAAAATGACTATAGCACATAACAAATTTAATAAAACAAAAATTTTTACTAAACACTGAATATACAAACATAAACAAGAAAATATAAAAAATATATTATGAAGTTAATTCAAAATATGAATAAATTCTATAACAAATAAAAATAAAATAAAACTGTTCTAAAGTACAGTTCCACAGCAGCACCAACAGATAAATGTTTGTAGGGGGCAACGTAAACTTTTTTTTAAAAATTTTTTTATTTTAAATGTTGGTAAATGTTTAAAAACTAGTGGCTTTTTAAAGACCAAGCAGAAGCCACAGTAAACCAGTTGCGTCAACAGTTTAATGACTGTGCATGCAACTAGTAAACAATGAACCTAATATGGTTATTACCCAGTGAATCATTTACAACTATAAGGAAAACATTACATCACCTAATTAATATTCATGAACAACACTGATCAGGTTTATAACGAGTCCCCTCTCACTTTTCAAATCGTTCCGACGCCCTTGACAAAAACTGTACACACTACAGATTGTCTACAGATTTAAGCATCTGATCATGCATTCTGTGTATAGATTTCCTCTGTCAGAATTTGACATACATTTATGTTCTAATCATCCTGTGTCCGTATTCAAATTTGTCCGGTCTGTCAGGTCAAGATTGGCTGATTTCCAGCAGAACTGTCAGCCGTCTTCTCTCTCTCCCTCCGGCTGTCTCCGGGAAAGTGGAGCTGTGTGCCTCAAGGCCTACGCTGGGCTCACCGGTGAGAAACCACCTCAGATGACCTTGAAAAAATGGACACAACTTAATGAAGAGTACATAACGCACAAATCGATAAAACACTGCACAGTCTGTACTTAAATAATATTACATTTTTAATGACGAGCACTTCTGCATCCTGCTGGAGTGAGTTCACTGAAATGGGAAATGGTATCGGGAACGATTGGTCAGAGCAGTTTGGGTTCAGCTTCATGTCGTGGGTTTATTTTAACCCAGTGTGCCACTTATATTGAATTAGCAGGACAACCTGAGGCAACATAATTAAACTGGAGGGGGGTGGATAGACTACACTGGTTGGAGATTCTCCCAGATGGGCTTCGGGCTAATTGGCATGGGATCTTTTCCTCTGGCTGTCTCTCATCCCCTCTTTCCTTCTCCCTCCCTCCGCAGGTACCATCATGACACCAAACTACGTGAGTAACAGCAGTACAGAGGTGTCGCAGTGGTGTAATTGCGAAGGCAGCGGGAATCAGTGGCAGGACTGCCTGCGTATCCTGCACATGTTCAACAGCAACACCTGCCTGCGTGAGTATCCCAGAATATCAGATCATCTTAATGTTTGCAAAAAAGAGTGTAAATATGGAACTGTTCTGGCAGATTTGCGGTTTCTTACAAAGCCCATGAAATGGTTTAACGTTTACACTTTTCTTTTGTGTGATGACATATTTCTTACTGAAACAGGAAGCTGGCGTGGGTGCTTGTTGGAGCTGCTCTAATTCAGCATTAATTTTAGTACTAATTCAGCAAGGATGCATTAAATTGATCAAAAGTGACAGTAAAGTAATTTATAATGTCGACTACATTTCCAAATCCAAATATTTCAAACGGCTTCCACAAAAATATTAAGCAGCAACTGTTTTTAACGTCGTTAAAAAAATGTTTCTTGAGCATCAAATCAGCATATTAGAATTATTTCTGAAGGATCAAGTGACAATGAAGACTGGAGGATTGATGCTGAAAATTCAGCTTTGCAATGACAGGAATAAATTACATTTTAAAATATACTCAAATATAATATAGTTATTTTAAATTGTAATAATATTTCACAGTATTACTGTTTTTACTGTATTTTTGATCTAATAAATGCAGCCTTGTTGAGCATAAAAGGCTTCTTTAAAAAAATGTTTACTGACCCCAAACTTTTGAAGAACAGTGTATACAATCTGCTCTAAAATTTCAGAATAGGTCTCAACGCTGTGCTTAAACTATGATATCTGTTTCTCTGATTTAAATATGAACTGAAGCATTTCTCATCAAATTCAACAAAATGATCTGAGCTTTGCTATGCACAATCGTTTCTATACGCCTCTGCACAGAAGATGATATCAATATTTTTGGTCCATTTTATCAGATGACTGTAAATGTTAAATGTGGATATGGACTTAAAGTATATATTTTGTCAACTTTTTGGAGTAGTCAAGCATAACAGACATGAACTAAAACCCACAAAACTCAAAAAAAAAAAAAAAAAAGATTTATAAATGGTTTTAAAATGTTTTATACTTTAGATCATTATCCTTTCTTATTTTGGAATATAGGACTGTCAAGTAAAAGAAGTCTACAACTCACCCGGTCTCTTTTCCTAACAGGTAATGCCATTGATAACATGGGAAGCTCCACCCCTCATCCAGTAGAAGGCACGCCCCTTCCTCCACCTCGCCCCTCCCCTCAGGTCCAGCACGATGAGCTGAAAATTAACCTGTTGCCTGAACCCGGTGTGGTGAGTAGTGAACACATTTCCTAAAACAACCACCACACAATCAAACTCCTTCATCTACAATGCTAACTCAACGTAATTCACACAGAAGAACCATTTATAAAGCTCCGCCCATGTATACTAGTTCCGTATAATCACAATAAACCTGGTTCTTATTCTTGTCGTAGCTTTGTGGTTAATTCTGGCCTTTGATACATGAGATTTGCAAAAAACGGCAGGCCCAGCAAACCCGCAGTCCTTGCGCTTTGAGCATACTGATGGATCCGAGAACTGAACTGAAACGGTTATGCACGGCTGATTGTGTCACTGCAGAAACACACGGTCACACGGCATCACTCTGCAGCCGCTACAGTAAGCACAAAAATGCTTGTTCAGAAAACCCACCTTCTGCATTTAATTTGGTTTCCTGTGTACTTTGTGGGATGCTTCCAAATGTTCCTTGTTAATTTATTGTATTTATTCAACTGTGGTGCCTATATTTTGGAACAAGAGTAATGAATGCAAGTTTTTGTTATTCTGTCTCTTTAGCATCTTTAAAAGAGCACCGTTTCTTAGACCTAATCAATAGGTCATGATGCTTTGAACTAAAGGTCCGACCTCTGACCCCTATGCACGTGACCTTGTTAAAATGTCCTGTCTGGTCTTTATCTTACTTTAAAATGGTAATTTCACAGATATATTCACTTGTTTTTCTTCCATACACAAAGATGGTAAACAAATGCCACATGTACCTAAAGGGAACAGTGTGGGGTCGGAATCAAACTGCCTGAACTGCCACCTTCAATTCAATCAGAAATAATCACACAACCCACAGGCCCTCAAGAACACAATCATGGTAAGGAATTAAATCTATATCGAATTGCTCTGTCCTTTAGTCAGATTATATTGTGCTTTGGAATGAGGGTGTCAGCTTTATTTTTCTTTCATTATGGCTGGCCGCCAAACTTTAAATGACTCAGTGAGACTTAGTAGGCAGCGTCACTGAATCAGATCTTTAATTTGTCCTCAATCTTGTGGTTGCCTTGGTTTTGTGCTTTATCTGAAAGTGACCATATACTTTGCAAAGTTTGAGCCACAATTTCTTGGAACAGTTATCAGTAAAAAGTTATTAGCATTAGTATAGTATTCGCAAAGTCATTTAGTGATAGCCAGTGACCATCCCAACTAACCCACCAACCAATCAAAAAATAAACAAATTAATTAATTAATTAATTAAAAAATGAATAAATAATTTAACTTTATATAATGCAATTTAACAATTAAATACATAAATAAAGTGATTTAACTTGAGCTAACTGTTAGCATTAGCCAAACTTTGCAAAATATCTGTGCCAAAGTCATTTCTTGATAGACAAATAAGCTACTAAAGCTTCAGGGAGTGACACTATCCAAATAAATCATTTATATTTCTTGCAAAAATCATTTTGTTGGCTACTTTTGAATGGATGTCCATAGAGAAACATGCTTTTTGACAGCATAATGGCGTAATACTAATGCTAATGGGCTAAACCCTGACCCCCATAGACAAGGTATTAGCATTAGCATAATATCTGTGCCAGAGTCATTTCTTGATAGACAAATAAGCTACTAGAGCTACAGGGAGTAACACCGTCCAACAAAATCAGTCACTGGTGAAACATCTGTTTTGCAAATTTCTTTCAAAAATGATTTTGCGTGCTACTTTTGAATAGATGTCAATGGAAAACATGCTTTTTGACAGCATAATGGAGTAGTACTAAAGCTAACCGGCTAAAACCTGACCCCCTGGCCATGTTATTTAGGGTGACCATACGTGCCATTTTCCCAGGACGCGTCCTGGCCAGGATTTGTTTTGGCTTTGTTTTCCTGTTTTCATGCTTGCTGAAGGTAATGATCGAAAAGTAGTTTGACCAATAACATGCAAGCATTGTTAGCATTAGCAGTAGCATAATATCTGACTAAAATCATTTCTTGATAGCCGATCAGCTTTTAGCGCTCAGGGAATGACACCGTTCGTGATAGCAACACTTACTTGACTATGTATTGTAAAATGGATTGTATATTTGCTGCCCACATAAAAGAGAAGCAAATAATCCCTGGGTGTCCATAGGCGTGCAGACTTTATCAAGAAACGCTGCTCTGATCTGTGTGTCTTTGTGTTCGTGTGTCCTCGCTTTGGACTGTGTGCACATCCTCTGTTCTCAGAACACACAGACCACAGCATTCAGCTTAGAGATAATCTGGGCCTGCAGACGAAAAGGATTCAATTCAGTTTCTGCTGTCATTTATTTCTTTCCTAGACTCTCTCTCTCACTTGTGTTCTCCAGCAAATCTCTCCTCTCCAAATGTCTTTCTCTCTCTCTCTCTCTGAATGGATTAGCTAAAGGTGTTTGCAAGCAGTGGTGCATCAGTCAAACTTCATTAATATTAATATATTCGTACCCATCTGTCTGTATTTCTAGCTAACTCTCTTTTTCTCTTTCTCCTTTTATCGTTCGTTCCTAATCCTTCTCCCTCACAATCTCTCTGTCCCTCTCCCTGAAAAACACTCACCATCGTATTGCTCCTACTTTTCTAAAACTGTACTTCTTAGGTGATTCATTTATTTCTCATATGATTCATTTTTTCATATCACCATTCAACTAATTTTATCTCAGATGTTTCTCATAAAACTCCATGTAACAAAGTTTAATATATATATATTAAGTATTTGCTGCCCACATAAAAGAGAAGCAAATAATCCCTGGGTGTCCATAGGCGTGCAGACTTTATCAAGAAACGCTGCTCTGATCTGTGTGTCTTTGTGTTCGTGTGTCCTCGCTTTGGACTGTGTGCACATCCTCTGTTCTCAGAACACACAGACCACAGCATTCAGCTTAGAGATAATCTGGGCCTGCAGACGAAAAGGATTCAATTCAGTTTCTGCTGTCATTTATTTCTTTCCTAGACTCTCTCTCTCACTTGTGTTCTCCAGCAAATCTCTCCTCTCCAAATGTCTTTCTCTCTCTCTCTCTCTGAATGGATTAGCTAAAGGTGTTTGCAAGCAGTGGTGCATCAGTCAAACTTCATTAATATTAATATATTCGTACCCATCTGTCTGTATTTCTAGCTAACTCTCTTTTTCTCTTTCTCCTTTTATCGTTCGTTCCTAATCCTTCTCCCTCACAATCTCTCTGTCCCTCTCCCTGAAAAACACTCACCATCATATTGCTCCTACTTTTCTAAAACTGTACTTCTTAGGTGATTCATTTATTTCTCATATGATTCATTTTTTCATATCACCATTCAACTAATTTTATCTCAGATGTTTCTCATAAAACTCCATGTAACAAAGTTTAATTCTGTATGTGTTAAATTATGTTATTTTTATTACATTATGTATTATTTTTCTGTCCATCAGGACCACAAATATCTCCACCTCTAAACTCACGCCATAGAAGGCAACAGTTGAACCTTGAGTTGTGAGGTTTTTAATCGATTGTATGTTTTTGTTGAAGACATCAGCCCGCATTATTTCAACTTATATTTTTTAAAAATCGTGTTTAACAGCAGACTGGTGAGAAACTACATTTCCCATGATTGTGCAAACAAATATCCACCAATCAGAGAAGAGAAACAAGTAAATTGTGCCAAAAGAACACTTTGGTGCCCACCATGAAGCACAACAAATGACTTAATACTCAAATCTCTTTATGCTTTCAAACTACTAAATATTTGTATTTATATATGCATATTTTGCGGTAAACATAAAATATACAGTTTCTATAGACACAGTCAACATCTTTAAATCAACAGGTTTATGTTCCTCCATTGTTTTCATTTTGATTATGTCATTCACAATGCTTCATGGGATTGTAGTTCCTTCCCTCATTGAAGCCGTCTTGTACTTTTGTCTTTTTGTCCAATTTTCAAAAAACTTTTCTGCTTCAAATCAAAATTTGTAATGTCGTGATTCACCCCATAGTCGTATAACTTCTTAAATGATGACTTATTTAAAATCCCTATGAGAAAAATTATTTCCCAGGCTGAGGCCAGTGAAGTGGTTGGGAACCAGTTTTTAATATTTATTATTATTATTAATAATAATAACATTTATTAATATTTTTACTTTTTTTTATATATTTTCCATTTTAATTTGAGTTAAAGTTTTATTAAATTTCTTGTGTTTTTGTCAGTTTTAGTTTTTGTATATATATTTTGTATATAGTTTTAATTTATTTTTATTTCAGTTTTAGATTTTGTTAAAATAAATTCATCAATCTAAACTTTAATAAAATTTAATAAAAGTTTTAGTTTTTGTATATATATTTTGTATATAGTTTTAATTTATTTTTATTTCAGTTTTAGATTTTGTTAAAATAAATTCATCAATCTAAACTACATTAAAATGAGAAATGTAGTCTTGGCAATTAGTTGAAATAAAAAAAACACTTTTTTTATTTTATTAATTTTTTTTTCAGTCAACGTTTATTTTCTTTAAAGTGACAAAAATGTTTTTTTTTGTTTTCATGGTTTTAATTTTAATTTTAGTTGACTGTAATAACCCAGGCAGTGTTGTACTCTATTGGCTGTGCCAGTGTTTTAACAACTTAAACAATAGGGTATAATATTATATGTCGAACATCACCTGACCAAACCAGAAATCGGGTCTCATCGCATCCGCTGTTGGAGAAACAGATGGCAGTATCTATGGACTAGTTGTTTTATTTATTTATTGTTTTATTCAACTTTAATATCAAAATTGTAGCAAACCTTACTACATTTAAATTACAACTGGTTGAGGCGGCCAAATATGGACCAGATTCCGGTCAGAGAATCAGGAGAGCAGGAGAAGTCTTTAGATTGAGACATTTATTTTACTCCAATATATGCATCTGCATATGCATCTGGTATGAAATGAGATGTGTTTTGTATTATATGAACACATTACAGAAAACATAGCAGCAGCATAAACAAAGACAGACAGCGGTCTTCACTGGCAGGTAACACTAATAATCGTCCCTCTAGGAAACATGAAATGAACTTTAGTTCCTAGTTCCTAAAATAGGCTTTCTGACACAGCCGCCCCCAATTATCTGGCAAGATAATTGAATACTCTAAGAAAGTCTATCGGGGGTGCTCGTGTCATTGTCCTCAAGATGAGGAAGAGGGATCAATCGCACAACTGGACGAGTGTAAGTTTTGTCTTTAACCTTTACTCTGACGATACGAATTCTACCATCAGCTCCAGGTAAGGTCTCTGTTACGGTTCCTACAGGCCAGAGCGAGCGTGGAAGTTGTGGATCTACAACTAGTACGACTTGCCCTACTGTCAGTTCCCTGCCCTCGGTCGTCCACTTGTGACGTCCCTGCATGTCTGGGAGGTATTGGCGAATAAAGGCAGCCCAGAAACAATCAGCCAGCACCTGGCTATGTCTCCATCTTCGTCTTCCAAGCAGGTTGTTAGAGTCATACAAGACCTGAGGTAGCGAGGCATCTCGACGACCCATAATAAGTAGGTTTGGGGTCACAGGATCCACATCCGCAATATCCGAGGATACGTAGCCGAGTGGCTTGGAGTTCAGGATGCTTTCAACTTCTACCAGAAGGGTCTGCAGTACTGGTTCCGGCACTGACTGCTCTCGGAGGATCACACGGAGTGCTGCCTTCACTGATTTTATCTCGCGCTCCCAGGTTCCCCCAAAGTGAGGAGCATTTGGGGGGTTATGGCGAAATCGAATTTTCTGCTCTGCCAGCTGTTCCCGTAGCTTTGGTGACATGGCTTCAAAGGATTCCCGTAACTCCCGATCACCTCCAACGAAGTTGGTGCCATTGTCGCACAACATCTCCATAGGCTTGCCACGTCGGGCTATAAAACGGCGCAGGGAGAGCAGGAAAGCGTCGGTATTTGTACTGCTCACTGAGATAGCTATGATTACTTAACAAATTGTCCAATGCCAATTTTAACAGGGCAAAGTCACTCTCATTACCACTTTCAAACACTGGTAGCTTAGGTTGTGGGATGCCATAAGCTGAGGCAAAC